GCCTGGAAGACGTTGAAGGCGCCTGAACTAAAAGGTTAAATGTTTTAGTTTTGTTCATTTCACTAAAATCGCCATCAGGTTTGAGCTCCATGAAAAACTTCATCAGTTAAATTTTTTACATTTTACCCTTGAAGTGGTTTTGGTTTCTTTGCAAGTTCATCATAAACTGCTCGTTAGATTAAAACAGGTTTTAAATAATTAATTGTGGTCCTTTTTTTTTATAAAATCTGCTGGCATTTTAATAGAAGTGTAAAGATTTTAGTTTCTCTTTTACTGTCAAAGTGACGTTTGCTCCACTGCATTCAGTCTGGGTCATGTGACCGGAGTATTTGAGGCGGCCAAGTACACAGCCCTGTGGGATTCCTCCTGAAGCTCAAAGTCACATTTAACAGTTAAAGCTTCTCAAGCCTGGAGATTTTTTTAAAGGAGCTGAATTAAACTTGATTAATAAACTCTATAATGTATCAATATTTATTTTAATGGACTTTTTCCACTTCTAACTTTTGTTTCTGATCATAGAATATTTGATCAAATTGGATATAACTTGTTTATTTTTGATTTAGCAGAAGGAAGTGTAGAAAAGGCCCAATCTGATGGGATGAAGGTGATTTCTGTCTTGTTTTTGGGTTTCTCTTTAATAAAGTCTTTTTCTTTAAAAATGAAATAAAACAAATGCTGATATAAAAAGTTTTTGTTGGAGAAACAAGCTGCTGGAAAGTCAACGAAAGTCAAAGGAATCAAATTTCTTCTCCATGTCTTTACCTTCTGTATCTCCATGTGAATGTCATATTTCTACCTGAGTGGGATGTGATGAAATAAAAACTTCACAGCTCCGACTTCAAAACAGACTTGATTTTATTTCGGTTTTAATGCAGAAATAAAAAACAAACCAGGATAAATTTATTACATCAGAAACACGAAGACAAACAGATTCTTTCACAGCTGGAGGATCTTTAACGTTCTCACAACCCCCTGCAGTACCACAGCGACACCACTAGGGGTCTCAATCCTGCTTCAGCTAACAGATTTCGTAGCTAAAAGAAAAAAATTATTGGTTTCATCGTCTATATAAATACAGCTTACAGAGAATTAGAAGATCAATAACTTTTTAAATAAATATTCTTATTTCCAACATTTATTGATGCAACCTTAATCAAATGCATGGATCCGAGCAGTTAAAGGTTGGTTAATGGGAACTAGCGCCTCCTGCTGGCTGCAGAGTTCCTGAACCTAAGAAGGTCTAACTTTCTGTCCCTAAAGAGGAGAAGCAGCCGCCATCTTTCTGCTGCGGCTGATCGTTGGCCTCCCTGTCAGCGGGTTTCCTCCTCTGCTCTCCTCAGGAGGTCCAGAACCAGCAGGATCCATCTGCCGGTTCTTCCACCGTCTCTTCCAGGATCATCTTAACACCTGCAAATCTCACGTGACCACCTTGATCTACGTTCAAAGGAAGGCTCGTTCTGTCAGCCTTCCTAATCCGTCTCATCTTCCACCGTCCTCAGAGGGTTCTGGGCAGGAAGTCTCCTGGATCTAAAGCGGTAAACTCTCTCTGCCAGTTCATTCTGCTCGTTTCTTGGCGAACACCGCCGACACGCTCCGGACGATCCCCCTCACCCCCGCCATGCTCTTCCTCAGCGCCCGGGTTTCTCTGACCAGGTCGACCAGCCGGTGGAACACCAGCAGGACGCCGTGGTACGCCTCGGCCGCAGACACCTCGAAGAAGCCGCAGCGCTCCGTCTGAGCCAGCAGGTGACCCTCCTCGCCGGAGACCCTGCGGTGATGCTGCAGGTCCCGTTTGTTCCCAACAATGACGACGGGAACGGACGACATCTTCCTGCTGCGACGGATGAGATGCAGCTGCTGGCGAATGACGTCGAAGCTGCCGCGGTCGCAGATGTCGTAGACCAGCACCATCCCGTCCGCCCACTGCAGCTGCTTGTCGCTGATGGAGCCACTTTTCCCTCCAGCCTGAGGAGAAACCAAACCGTTGCTCATTTCCAGATGACTTTCAGGCACTGATGTTGCAGGTAAGATACTGACTGCTCCCTGAAATCTATGGTGCTCACAGTGAGCAGAAACACGGGAGGCGAGTGAAGGCAGCGAGGAGCTGACGGTTACCTGGGAGTCCCAGATGTTGATGCAGATGTCCTGACCATCCACTCTGTCCACTCGACTGTAAATGGACTCTGAAACCAAGAAGCAGATCAGATCTTTGTTTAGGCGACTATGAAAAGCAGCAGAGGTTAGAAGCAGCTGGATCTGGAGGTCTCACCGATATCTCCGTACTCTCCGATGAACCGTCTGGTCAGAAATCTGACGGTCAGAGCTGCAGGGAGGAGAAGATGGCAGGTTAGCGGTTATCAACCATTCAAATGAGAAAAGGTTTTCAGCTTTTAATGTTTTCCTCTGATGACATCATGAGAACATCTCTTTCCATCTGAGGGAAATATTTCCCTGAACATCTAATGAACAGCGGAAGTCCTCACCGGTCTTGCCCACGTTGTGCGCTCCCAGCAGCAGGATGTTGGCCTCCACTCTCTGCTGGTTTGGCTCCGTCGCCTCCATTCGGCTTCTCACCTCCACCACCATCAGGAATCAGGACTGGAGCTGGGATTTCTGGGAACGTGAAGCTTCTGTGGCTCCTGCTGCAGGTGCTGCTCCTCTTATACGGTGTGTGGGCGGAGCCTCAGCCTGGACATCGGCTGCGATTGGTGGACAGGGCTGATCTGGGATCTGATTAGGGAATGTTAGCTGATGGTAGATACTGGGCCGACCAGACGGTGTGTGTGAGTGTGCATGTGTGAGTGGGGGGTGAGGAGAGACCAGTCTGTTTCAAGCAGACCATTTTTTTTTTATATATACTCTAATAATCCCAGAGGGAAATTACTCCCCAATAGTTCGACAGTTTAAAAGTAAAAATTTGGATTATTTCTATCTAATGATCACTTTTGATTAGCTTAAGAAAATTTGCTAAAATGTCTTTATGCAAATGTTTTGATATATTTTCTCCTCTATTTTCTGAGGCCCTCTGGCGCCCTCTGGTGGCGGTCCTCGGGTTTAAACTGCAGAGAGGAAATTTCTGCAGATTCTTGCAGGTTTGAGGCTCTGCTTTGCATCAAATAACTTTAATAAAAGCAGAAAATGTTGAAGTTGGAGGAAAAAGAAAAAGGCATCAACAGTTTGACTTCCAGCTTTCTGGGTAAAACAGAATAAACTGACAGATTTTCATTTGAACAAAGTCAGTTTTTTTTTATCAGGAGTTCAGGTTGCTAAATACTGAGCAGCGCTGCCCTCTGGTGGCCGGACTGGAGAACAGCTGTTTGCTACATTTATTTAAATAATAATAATAATTGCACTTTATTGATCTTAGAATGGAGAAATTCCCTCTCTGTGTTCAACCCCTCCCCTCAGGGAGCAGGGGGGGGTTAAGGGTCTTGCTCAGGGACCCCGAGCGGCACACTGTGGGGATCAAACCGGGTACTGCTCTAACCACAAGGCCAACACTCCCCAACATGATTTATTTCCTTAAATTACCTTAAAAAATAAACAAAGTAAAACATCTAAACTCAGATGCCTTTTTCTTCTCTTTACATTCAGCAACTCTTTATTTTAAAAATATTCTAAACTAAAGTAAAAATCATTCAGTGACATTGATTTTCTAAACGCTAAATATCCTTTTTTCTATTAGAAAGATCAGTAATAATAAAAGAATAAACAGGAAAGTGGATCATAGATTTAATACTGTGGACAAAACTTTATAAATGTATAAATTATTTATTGTCTTTGCCTTTAATGAACGGTTTGTTATTCTTCAGCTGCTATGATGGAGATCAGCTCTATGCCGCCCCCTGTTGGCTGAACTGCAGGATGCTATGAACTAGGAAAGCAGACCCATCAGAACCCTTTAGATCAGAAAATTAGTTTTTTTTCCCCGCGCTCTCTCCATCCGTCTAGGATCCAGATTCTGCCCTTTAATTCCTTCATATTCAGCAGCTTCTTTATTCAGTAAAACATCAAATAGTAACTAAGACTTTTATTAATATTCTCTGTGCAAAAAAAGGAAAAACAGTAACAGAAAAAGTCCAACTGGAGGTTTGAAGTTGAACTAATTTGCTCTTTTTTAGGAAATGTTCAGCTAAGGCAGAGAACCAGAGGCGTGTCGGGTCCCATTGGGGGGGGGGGGTCACTGTAACCGGACCCAGTCCCTCAGCTGGAACCGTCTTCCTGTTTTCTTTTCTTTGGTCTGTTGGCTGCAGAACCTCCCCTCAGATCCAGGAAGTCCCTCAGTCTCTTCCTCAGAAGCTGCAGCCTGGACTCAGACATGCATTCTTCTTCTTCTTCTTCTTCTTCTTCTTCGTCTTCTTCTAGTTCCCTCTTCTTCCTGCTGGTGTTTGCAGAGCTGCTGGGTTCTGTGGGATCGCTGCAGTTTGGTGGCTTCAGCAGAGAAGGATGAAGCTCTGAACCCAAAGTTTCCACCAACTTCTTCTGGAAGTTCTGCTGCAGCTCCGTTAGAGACGCGTCCTGGAGGAGAGGAAGCAGAACATCTGAAACAACTAAAGTTCTCCAGGTTCTCTAATGTTCCCCTGTAGACCCTCACAGCTTTCTGTCCAAATTAGGACTGAAACTAATAATTATTTTACAATTTGATTAATCGATTAATTATTAGAGAGAAAAAGGTTCATTAAAGAAGATTTTTCATGAGAAACTAAACTTTTCCGCTTCAGGAGTTCTAGATAGAGAATAATGACAGACCAAATGTTTTTTTTTATTCTTAAATGAAAAACATTTTTATATTTTCCATTACTACTTCTTCTGTCGACTCGTTTGCTGTTTTATTTATTTTCTTTTTTACTCATCTATTTTGTTTTTCTCCCTCTATCTCATTATGTAAGTGTTAGCGAGCATAAAGAGCATCATGGCGTTATTTGCACACGGTCTATGAACTTTTGTTCATGGATAATTTTAGTTCTGCTTTAACTCCTTCCAGCCTCATCGTCTCTGACACTTTAAAACGTTGACCACATACGTTCCCGTTTAAAGGATTTATTTTCTCCGCAAACTGAGGATGTTTGGCGTCAATCAGAACATCATGTTTTTATCCGGCGGTGATGGAGGGCGCCATCAGGTTTGGGATGACGGCGTGGACTCGTCCCTCATCCTTCATCAGGAATACGAGTTCCTTCCTTCTGGCAGAAGGTTCAGAATCCCAAACCGACTCGCTCTAAATGCTCCTTTATCTCCATCAACATCTAACCAGCATTTTAAATAGATCTATAGGAGAAATGAGTGAAATAACTCGCTGTTCTTCTTGTTCTTCTAGTGTTGCATGTTTTTTCTAATTTCTTATTAGTGCGTACGTCACCTATGTGTGTTTTTATCTGGTATTTATTGTTTCTAATGGCAGCTACTAGTATGAACTGCTCACCTGGGTTTATGACTCATTTCCCAATAATAAAGTAGATTCTACTCTATTTTTTACAATCTTGGTTTAATTCCTGCTCTAAGTTTGTCGCTCTGTCAGCTAAAGACATGTTTCAGAGTCTCTATACTCCAGTTAATTATTAATTATTGATAATTAATAATCGATTCTTTCAATAATCGATTAATAATAATTAGTCTAAACTTTCAGGACAAAATCTCAACCTGAAGCATTTTTGGTAAAAAACAACAAAGTTAAACAGAAACTCTGTGCAGGAGCATCAGCCCTCTGGTTCCAGCTCCGACCTGCTGCTCCTTCCATAGAAACGGGTCGGGTCTCACCTGCGGGGCGTCGCTGAACATGTGCCAGAGGTCAGAGACGAGCTCTGCAGGCGTCCGATAGGCTGGAGACAGACGGAGGCTGAGACGCTCCGATATCAGCATCAGATCCGACCAGAAATCCATCTGGAAGCAGAGACGCCGTCAGCAGCAGCCACTGAAACCAGTTAGGGCGCCATCACGGCGCCGCCCAGGAATCATGTTTGGAGGTTAAACAAGCAGATCTGGGGTTCAAATAAAGTTTTCTTTGTTTCTCTACAATAAACTAAACATCTGCTGCACAGAGATGATCTGAGATCCAAACCTTCTAAAAGTTTCTACAATAAACCAGAGGAATAAAGGTGAGAATAAGACGCTAACCTTCGAAAACTCAACATAAACACAAGTTCAAAAGGTCATACAGACTCAAAGATTAAACCAGAAAATATAAAAAATGGCGGCTGCTGGGAGCGTTTCCACGTCCAGCCAGGAGCAACCAGACGGATGCTGAAATAACGAGAACTGAGAGTGTAAAACGGCTCACACTGGAAAACAGCTTCAGAGTCGGGGACAAAAATAGAAGAAAAGCAAATTAATGTAGTAAAGCAGGGCGCTATTTTCCACCAGATTGTGATTAAAGACGTAATAAAAAGACAAACTGGTCTAGAATGGGCATCATTTTAATCTGAGTTCCAAAGATGGAAGCCAAACAGCTCAATCAGAAGGCAGGTTGGTCAAAAACAGCATGAAGCTGGTAAAACGGCTCATTGCTGCTTAGCTTAGCTTAGCTTAGCTTAGCTTAGCTTAGCTTAGCGGCAGTAATTCCAGTTGGTTCTACTAGTCTGAAGGGAAGAACAGCAGGACCGTCCTGCAAACAGGAACCATCTGAAGGGAGACGGATGAAGCTCAGCAGGAGGAATTTAAATTCCTGGGCTGCGTCCTCCGAGGACCCGGTCTACCTGGACCAGATGCTTCCAGGTCCTTGAAAATAAGATTCAAACAGGTCCAGCCTTCCACAGCTTTCACTGCCTACGCTCTGTTGCCTAGCAACCGTGTCAGTTGGCACACAAAGCAGGAAAAGAATAGCCTAGTAAACCAGCCCCCTGTAATGGTTGCTAGGCGACAGAGCGTATTGGTGGTGAAAGCAGGAGAAGGCTGGACCTGTTTGAATCCACAGCAGAAACTCTTCCAGCCTCCTTCCAGTCCAGGTAGACCGGGTCCTTGGGGGGTGCAGCCGCTGAAATGAAACGCATCGTTTCTGTGTTTAATCTCTCTGAGCTTGCTGTCTGGTTCCAGGTGAGGATCGTCTCCCCCTAGTGGTTTGGAGCTCCTATGCAGCTTAACATGCAGATGATTTTGCTGCAGCAGCATTCTGTCTTTATTTAACTGCAGAGTTTGCAGGAACTTTTTAATTTACAGTGAAATCCTGTTTTGCATTATTGGCACCTCTCAGCCACCGTACTAGGGCTGGATGCGGACAATACCCCCCCCCCCCCCCCCCCCATTTACTGGGACGTTCAAACTAATGGTTTTAAAATCTGAGCCTGACATCTCCTCTTAAAGTTTTGGTTCTGATCACTGCAGGACCCAGATCCATAACTGTGGTTGGTAACAGGAAGTCCTTCCGATGGCCACTAAAGGCCTGTAGACAGGAAGTGATGCATAACCGCCATCACCAGAACCGCCCTGGGTGTGAAAACAGACCTGTGAGAAGCGTGTGCAGCCGTCGACCTTCAGGTGCAGCAGGAGAGTCTCACATCTCTGAAACACACAGAACCACGTTCAAACAAGCAGAACCGGGCCGACCGGACCTCACACAGGTTCTACCACAGACAATGATGTAAATAGGTTCTAAAAGCCGACCCACCCTCTGGTCCTGCAGGCTGAGGGAACACTGCGGGCTCCTCGGTCTGTCGGAGCTGAAGGGGTCCGACGGGTCGGACAGGTCCTGGCACAGTGAGCAGACCAACTCGGACCTTCAACACAAACATCAGGGGAGCAGTTTAAAACCAGCGACAAAATGTTTGACGTTGTGACCTGCAACATAAAGCAGCTCCGTCTGTTTGATGGAGACAAGTCATTACATCATCGTTAACTAGAGTTAAAAACATGCTGGTTAACTAAAGTAAAGATAAAAACCAAAACTGCAATAAGAATATAAAAACTAATGAAAAAATAAACTAAACAGCCTAGTTTTAGTCTGTGTCTTTATCATAATGCATTAACAGAAGTTGTGGTTGTACCGCATTACACCAGCAGAGGGCAGCACAGCAGTCAGGTCCTTGGTGTTGCTGCAGCAATTGGTTCTTATCTGGGATTTTATTTCTGTTGGGATTTTTTAGTTCTGAACTGTTTGTTAGTTATATCACATAAAAGCTAAACTGGAACTAAGCATTTATTTTTAAATAAATACTAAACTAGCCAAGAAATAATAAAAAACTATTTAAAATAAAATATAAAATCAGAACTAAAAACTAAAACTGTCTCAGCCATCTAAACCTGGGTGTAGCGATGAACCTTCAGAAGCTCAGAGACAGGAACACAGTCAGTCTTCTACTAAAGAAGGTGTTGGGTTCAGAAAATGTGAGTTTATAGAGGCTGAAATGATCAGACGCAGGCAGGGATTTACAACAACAGCCTCTGCAGAAGGGAGAAGAACTGCTGGCTCACAACCAGCAGCTTTTCTCACTGCTCCCTTCACAGTAGAGCCTTTTATTAACAGATCACAACAGGATGGGGGGGGGGGTCTTAAGACAGAATGACCCTGTAATGACCAATCAGCTGGAGGCAGGTCTTCAATGTTTCATATGTACACTAACTGTCTTCAATAACCTAACAGAAGGACCAAGTCCTTTAGTCCTAGAGATGTTCTTCAGGGGATTGAACTGATCCTTGCAGCAGTGAGTGGTGGGAACATTTATGAGTTTTATTCAATCAGTATCATAGTTCCAAACCCACAACATGTGAGTGAGGAGTGTTTGGATACAAGAAATAAGGCTCTATTTAAGGTGCTGAAAGCACCGGATGACTGGCACATACCTCACTGAAAGGGCCCAACTGAACCTCGTATAGGAACCTGGTTCAAAGGATGAGGGGCAGCCATGTTGACATTATAGAATTCAATTCTATT